AGTGAACAGTCTCATTGTATCGCGGTTATTGTATAAACATGGAGGCTTGGCACTGAAACCATGCAGGGACCTATATACTAATATACGTCCCTGCTGTAACAAAGTACAATTTTCATTTTTTTTAAATTTATGATGTAAATCTACATACAAAATTAATAGTAATACAAACTTAAAGCTTTCAAAATATGAACATTATTATGTATTTAACTTCGTTATATATATTCATTGGTCTAAATAAAATCAAAACGGGAATGGAAATCTATAAATTTCGTTTTATTTGAATAAATACTTTTTCCAACGGGTGTTCCATACTTTTTAGCCATCACAAAAGTCAACATTCAGACGACAGACAGATAGTCCATCAACAAAAAAGATATGAGCTATGTATCCTAATTTTTGGAAAATACCGCGATACAATGGAACCCTCGATAAAACGATATAACGTTTTATCGTCGGGTTCGTAATTCCGGAACAACCGGAAGTTTCTTTAAAATGCTGAATACATTCATTGGAGGTCAAAATTCTACAAAATGAAAAGAAAATGTTAGTAAGAGGTATTTGAATAGATTGTGCTGTATTTGAAGATTTTGCCATTGTCTATATGGAGACTTTCATTGGATAGCTAAATTTATTTTGTGTATTTCATACGTTATCTCTATCAGAAATGCACAGGTTTGTTAAAAAAAAATTGATAAGTGATGAATTGAAGTGGTTTGTAAGCAATATGTCATGCCAAATGCGTTGACAGGCGAATTTCAAGACACTACTAATCTAGACAATTTCTAGTCACTGTCGAATGTCAGACTGTCATCGGCTCAGACTGGTCGGCCCAAGATTTAAGACAGGTCCATATACAAGACGCCTCGAGCCAAGCAAAATTTCATTAAAGAAATTATACATTTCCAATTTGCGACTTGAATAAAATATTGGCCAAAAAAGTATATGAATAAATGATCGAGATTTTTTATAATTATAAAAAGACAGTCCAAGAGCATATTGACAATAATCAAGGAAAGAGGTGACAATTAATTAAAGTGCTAAATGATAAACAAACAAGACACCGCATTGCATCCTTTGGAGTTTCAAGTGTGTGTCATATTGGTGACAATCAGGGGTTAATCACTGTTAATTATGAGCAGGCTTAGTTGTGAGACAGTAATTAAGAACATTTTTTTCTTCTTTATTTCTAACGAAAACCATGATTCCATTCAGAAATTCATTAATATCGCTAAATTAGTTAGAGCCTGTTTTTCCAGGATACCTGAAACAAAGTGTGCTATCCAATTAATGAAACATACAATGATGTACAGATCAATAATACAATCATTATCTTATATCAATATATGCAAGTTACGTATTTTTCCTGCAATATAACTGCAGCCATTAATTCCCACATAAACATGCAATCATGACAATAAAAAAAAAAAAAAACGATGTTGTTTAAATGTAGTCCTTATATATCTTTTCATGGATTATCAACCCATCTCAAATGTTTCAGATCAACAGAGAGTCAGACAATGCAAAATTTCAATTCTTTTAAAAGAAATATAAGATCATTGGAAAGAATTGCTGGTATGTTGAAATTAAGTTTTACTTAAGTGTATATATGTAACAGTAAGATAACTGATCTGATTAAGTTAGAGAAAAACAATCATTTATCATAGACCCCCCCCCCCTTTGTATCGAGAGAAAGAATTATATATTTATGATTTAATTATTATTTAAAATGCTGGGAATAATTAATTGATTGGGCTAATGTGTCTGTTATGTGGGCTGACGTATCAATAATCTTGGGCGACAATCCAAGTTTTACACTGAAGTATTAAGGAAAAACTTTCAAAACTTTCTCCTCAAGAACCACTGGGCCAGAAAAGTTGAAACTTATTTGGAAGCATTTTGAGGTAGTGTAGATTCTAAATTGTTCAAATTATGACCCCCAGGGGTAGGGCGGGTCACAATAGAGAATCCACGTTTTGCACTGAAATATATAGGAAAATTTTTAAAAATCTTCTCAAGAACCACTTGGCCAGAAAACTGAAACTTATGTGGAAGCATCCTGGGATAGTGTAGATCCTAAATCATTCAAATCATGGCCCCCAGGGGTAGGGTTGGGCTACAATAGGGAATTAAAGTTTTACAAGGGGGAAAGTCTAGTGAAGAACAGCAGGGCCAAAAATACTCAGGTGAACGTTATGACCCATGGGCCTCTTGTTTTTTAAATTAGAATTTTCATTTTCTTTAAACATTTTTCATTCAATTTGTCACTTGTTATTCATTAACATACATTCCTTATCAATTTATAACTGATTTTCCAAATTATTCATGCACAGATTAAAAAGAAAATCTCTTTAATTCTTTTTTGGAGAAAAGTATTTTTTCTAATAAAAATAATTATATTCAATATAATATATTAAATATCTTTGAAGTACTTTAACAATTTTTTTTCAGGAGTGAAATTTTAAAAAAAGCTGTGATTTTTAGTCACACAATCCCAACAGATGTAACAGTATTGCAGTAATTATATTGAAAAACTTTACCTCAAGAAAATACACATTTTTAGCTCTATTGGTCACAGACCAGAAGATCTTGTGCGATAGTAAGGTGTCCATCGTCTGTCTGTCTGTCTGTAACAATTTTTCAAAATGCTACAGTACTCCTATGATTTCAATGTAACTTGGCATATAAGTATACTACACCAAGATACATAATTCTGATTATCGGTTTTTGAGTGATGAAAGGTGTTGCCATGGTTACTAAAAATAGAAATTTCTGTGAAATACTTTCAAAATGCTACTCCTTCTTCAGTTTTGGTCTGATTTCAATATAACTGGGCACACAAGTAGACTACATTAAGATACATTATTTTATACATTAGGGGTGTACAATATTATCGATGTATCGGTATATATACTGAAACGCAAAAGAAACGCAACAAGCAGTAATCTACAAATATTTGAATTTTTTATCTAATGATTTTAAAAAACGAATACACTTTGGTAAAACTTGACTTGAAAACAACAAAGATTTGATAAAAATGTTAAATGATTATTTTTAAACTTTAGAAAGTAACTCATGACTGTTAAAACACCCCCACCCAGGCCATTCAATTACAGCGTGCAAGTCTGCCATGCACAACAATTGCAGCTTGATTTATACGATGCAATAGGTTCATCAATCTCGAGCGAAAAAAATATTCTCTGCCATTTTTAAATGCCTGTTTTTCAGATGATGAGGTCGAATTTTCTCTAGCCAAGCGTAGTGTAGTAACCCTTGAACTTCCGGTCCAAGGACTGTCATTCATGCTAATGATAGGTAAGAGACTGTTGGGGCGTGATGTAGGTCATATGTGCATCTGCAACTCTCCATCATCTTTATTTTGAGATTGAAGCGTCGAGTTTGATCTGATGATCCGCGCCTGTCAATGAGACGTGATACAGCTCTTCGGATCCAGTTACTGTTATAATGATAAATTTATTATATAACCCCTTACAACTAGCAAGATATAGTTTTAAAAAAAATTTTGAGATCAATTATTTGATATTTTTCCATTAAACAAAGCATTGTGTCAAGGGACTTTTTGATGCGCAAGAAAAATAACGTCATGTTTCTGTGTACTACGTCATCAATTTCAGAGAGGGGTGATATGGATTCAGAAAACCACAGTGTGGTGATCCGGAAAGTTGGATCAAACCGTCACGTGATTGTACAAAATCTACAGTAAAATTGAGCGATACACTGTTGGGTATATAATAAAAAATTATATCCTGTATGTAATATTTCCCCCTAAAATATGATGTTGCGTTTCTTTTGCGTTTCAGTATATATTGCAATATTAAAGCCAACAATAATATATCACAATATTTTTTTATAATACCGGTATTGACGATATGTTAACCAGAAGTATTACATAAATGTTAAATGTGGTGTATCTGCATTCCAAACTCAGTTGAATGGTTGCTTTAAAGTTATTTTTTTATCGACATTGCTACAGTGTGTAAAAGTTAAGAATGGAATAATAAGGATTAATATATAACATTGTAAATTTAATTTAACAGCAATTTTATTTTTTCAGAATACTTACTCTAAACAAAATTTACAGTTTTGTACATTTGTTTATCAAAATGGCGGACAAAAAACATTGTGAACAATCTTTTAGATTTTGATTCTTTAATTCTGAGTCCTGTGTCATAGTATAAATACAATTAAAAAATAAAAGGAAAGCTGAGTTATATGAAGTTGAAATAATCTGGCAGTTTTATAATTTTTTACGCAGATATCATGAAGAAAGAACCTGTCGACGGTCTTTGCAAAAATTACATATAAAGACGTTGATCTCTGATGTAAAAACACATTGATCTCTGATGAAATAACTATGACTACTTGTTCAGTAGGGAACTATGAATCCAGAGGACAGCAAACAGTCGATAATCATGATAATGTTAAATGATCAGAACCAAGATGAGGTATTTCGGTTTAGTTTGAGTGAATAAAAATACATGTCTATCCAGTTTACTTCATACTTTTAGTGAAATGGACAGCAAAACAATAAACCAAGGATCATTATTCTATTTATTGCTGTTGCATAGTTTCAAGTTCAAGAGCTACTTTTTTCTTCCTTTGTTATAAGTATAAACCAGTAGAGTTACAGTCTCATCATACAGTATATCATGGCTTCATGATATACTCTACGGCAATAATATGTAACAAATAGAAAATATTTCGTTTGTGTCAATAAAAAGAGAAATTCCACTTGTCCCATGGGTGTTATTATCAAAACAGTGGTATTTTTTATGAGACAAATTGAGTCTGTCAAATTTATAGAGATAAATTAATGAGTTTAGTGTAAGAAGATTTCTGGTAGAGTATCTCTGATCAAGCAGGTGCTATCTATATCACTTGGGAATTGGGCAGAGGAACCTCCAAACTATAGGCACTAAATGCTGTAATAAGGTTAATTTGATATTTTTCACACAAATAGAATGATTTTTATTTTACATTGTAGAGCAGGATGCCGATAATGAGATTCAGCACAAGGAGTTCAAACTTAAAAATTTATGTACAATGAATGCATAGGTATGTAAATAAAAAAAAAGATACACTGTACTAATACTTTACAAGTGGTCTCATGATTAAATTCCCTATTTTAAATAATTACAATGAAACAAACCAGTAAACAATTTGTTTTTATTTCAACTTTAAATAATTTATATTTGAATTTGTAACTGTACTAACAGTACTATTTAGATACGTAAGTTCTTGGGAATGTGCAAAGTGTTATCTTTAAGTATTCTTTTTTTTATTATGCCCCCCACCCCTCCCCTTCAAAGAAGGGAAGGCATATTGCTTTGCTGCTGCTGTCTGTGGGTTGGTTGGTCGGACTGTCTGTCTGTCGGTCCACCAACAGTTTCAGTTCATTTTCTTCGCAGAGGTTGCACATATTGAAATGAAATTTGGTATGCAGATCTATCATAAGAATATCTAGGTCAAGTTTTGTTTTGGGTACGATCGAACAATTTTTGACAGAGTTATGTCCTTTGGACTTAGAAAAATTCCAATTATTTGCTTTCCATTCATTATCTCTGCAAAGGTAACGAACAAATTAATTACCGATATATCATGAGAAACGTGTTTTTGCCAAAGATGTGATGTAGAAGACTATTTCTGGTTGATGCATCACAGATAGTACCGGTAGATGACCCCTATTGATTTTAAGTTCAAAAGGTCAATTTCATTTCCATGTACACTGCCCATAATGTATACTGCCCATAACAAAGGCTTGTGCACCGTATAATGTATGTTCAAGGGGGGCATAAGTGTTTCACAAACATCTCTTGTTTTGTAGGAATTCCTTCAGCTGTAATGATGGCAACAAACAGCCATGCTTCTGAGGCATTCAAACAGTATGTGCAGAAGGACCCAAAAGGGAGAACAATCTTGATTGTCCCAGAGGGAAAGTACAAAGGATGGGTGCCCCGTATTATTTACAGCATGCACCTGGAGGATGTCTCACTACCATTCTTAAGGCTAATGTCATTTCCTGTAGGTGGAACCTCCATTGGAAATTTGGTGGACATGAAGAATTTCAGTGCAGTTGGAAATTATTTGTGCTTGTTACCAAAATCATTTGGTACTTGCAAATCCATGGAAACACTCAATTTGAGTTTCAATCACTTCCAGCAAATTCCTGCAGCAGTTTTTAATCTGCAGTCACTGACTTGGTTAGATTGTAGTGACAATGAGCTTGAGGTCCTCTCACCAGATATTGGAAAATTAAAAAATTTACGCACATTAAAACTAGGAGGTAACTTTTTGTCTGAAATTCCAAGTGAAATTAGTCAGTGTAAGAAGATTGAGTACCTGGTACTGTCGAGAAAATGGTATCCAAGAGAAGGAGGGATGAAAGAGTTGCCAAAGGCTGCTTGTGGGCTAAAGGAACTGCGTTACCTGGATGTCAGCTGGCACCAGATCCATACAATTCCAGACGAAGTTGGCAATTTGACAAAACTGGAGTCTTTGAATATGAAAGGAAATTTCCTCAAATATGTTTCTACAGATATTGCTAAATGCACAAGTTTGAGGGAATTAAATTTGACAGGGGCATTGAAGCTTAATTCATACATTCCAGAGGAATTACTGCAGCTGTCCGAGCTAAGGACATTAAATTTGAATAACAATTATTTTTCTGAGATTTCACCAAAGATAAATGGACTTAAAAAGCTCAGACATTTCATCATGAGGAGGAATGCCTTGGTGAGTCTGCCAGACACTTTGTTTGACTTGAAACATTTAGAAAGTATTGAAATTGGAGATAATTACCTTGAGGAACTTTCCCCCTCTATAAAGAAATTGAAAAAGTTAAAAACGTTAGAAATGCGGGGTAACAAACTTACCAAACTCCCCGATGAGCTCTGTGACTGTGGTAGTCTTGAATCATTATTGCTTTCATTAAATGAACTTGTGAGTCTACCAGAAAATATTTATCGCCTAGCAAATCTGAAGGAACTGGATGTTTCTCGTAATCAGTTGACCTCCATACCACTGCTGTTGGACAAATTAGAGATGCTTGCAAAAACAGGATTGATAGATTTGAGCGAAAACAGTATTAAGGTCCCTCCTCAAGAAATTTGTGATCAAGGTTCTGATACTCTGTTTATCTTTTTGAGGGAATACAGAATCAGTCAGGCCAAACACAGAAGGAAGATGATTTTGATTGGTGCAGCCAAAGCAGGAAAAACTAGTCTTCGAAATGCGTTGATTCTAGGTCGTTCCAAATTAACAGCAGAGCATGAGAGGACATGGGTACTGGAGCGCCACCTATGGGAACCAGAGCCAGATTTGAGAGTCCAGGTGTTGGACTTTGGTGGTCATCATATTTATTCTGCTGCACACCATATGTTCTTGACCTCAGAGGCTCTACATGTTTTAGTATTTGATTTAAGTAAATACAAACCAGAGCTTTATGATGCTATGGTGGGAAATTGGCTTGATGCCATAATGGACAGATCTCCTGGAGCAGTTATTGTTATGGTTGGAACCCATGTTGATCTTTGTAAGGAAGATGAAATTGATGAAATCCTGGAAGATATATCTGATAGAATGAAAAGAATAGAGGACAAAAAGATACAAGAAATAAAAATTCATTTGGTTCGAACGGATGATGCTCTCAACTCGTTGACCAATAGAGATACCGGTACAAAATTTGAGGACATTGAAATTCAAAGACTTAGAGAAAAAAGAAATGGCATCTATAAAATGTTGAAAACGAGATCAAAATTGCCCCAGAATATACATGTTGTTAGTTGTGCTGATGAACTGACAGGTGTTTGTGAGTTTAGGAACATGTTGATAGAAAAATTGAAAGAGGCAGGAGAAAGACCATTACCAACTCCATGGTGGAGATACCTGCAGAAGATTGCAGAATATCCAGAGAAAATCTTGTCTTTTACAGAAGCCTTACGAATATTTAAGGATTTGATGAATGAAATGAATCAGAGCATGATTTCACTGGA